CCTCAGTGATTGGCCGAGTCAGGGAAATATCCATAACTCAATACCTTGTTACTTGCAATAATTACCGGAGACAACTCCACAACAGCAGGCAGAAATAATCAATGCCCTGAGCTCAGGAGAAACCCAACGAGCACAGAAAATATAAACAGAGCTCAGGCTGGCTATTGCCTAGCGGGCAAAGAACACAAAATTTAAGTAGGGACACTTCACCTTAGACAGGATCCCTACTGACAGACAGATTGCAACGATTCCCAACTCCATCCAGAAAAACAGAAAATAAAAATCTGCAACGGTTTTCCTTTCACAATAATGTTGACAAGTGTTTGAAATGACGGCGTATTTGTGTATGCTGCGGGCGCGCTCTGACATAGCAGCAACATGTGATTAGTTCTAAGTGTCATGGTGTCGGAACAAGGCTGCGCGCCCATTAATCTCGGGATCCAATTATCCGTTTGTTGTCTCATTCCCGCCTCTGTCAAGTGAAATAAACTTAATAGGAAGTTAGTGTTCCGCGAGCGGATAAAATATTCTAAACTGTTTTGTCTTCTCCAAGACTTTTTTTTTTTTTTTTTCGTTCCAAGTGTTTCTGTAAAAGCCCGCGATTTATTGGCATCCAAAGTCACAGCGCATCGGAAAACGCCGAGTGTTTATTATCAAGCCTAACTGTTCATTCATCATTGGAACAAATAAAGTTTTATCATTTATGTTGCGCAGTAACAGACTTGGAACGCTCTGCAGCCTCGCAAGAGCAAAGAGGAATGGATAGAAATCACAGGGATGCTTAGAGGACTTCACCTAAGGTAAGTTGTCATCTTCGCGGCCAATCAGGCAACGGGTATAATACATAGGAAGCACCTGCCTGGCATGGTGGCACCTCCAGAGGCAAGGGGCGGGCAAGAACTGAGTCCATGGCTACAATGATGGACTGAGAAGAACATTGGGCTCCAATCACTTTGGGCAGAACAGTTAAGGAGGTGAGAGTTAGGGGCCCCAGATACTGTAGCAGATCACTTACAGACCCACCATGTCCAGATTCACAGTGTCAGAACCTTTAAGCTGACCTGGGGACACTGTAGAGAGCAACTTAGCTGGTTCAAAGACTTTGCTCTCTCCATTGTCTACGCTCAGTGCTTCCTCCAAGCAAGTCCCTTCTGAACAGACCAGCCTTCTTCCTGGTTCTCTCCAGAAAAGGTCGTCCCCTGGGTCTTCCCCCTGGCACAGATTCCCCATCACCAGGCAGGACAGCTCCAGGACCACTGCCAACCCAAGTCCATAGCTTCCCCACATCACCAGGCAGGACAGTTCAAGGACTACTGCCAGCTCAAGTCCATAGCTTCCCACTTCACCAGGCAGGACAGTTCAAGGACCACTTCCAGCCCAAGTCCATAGTTACCCCCATCACCAGGCAGGAAAGCTCTAGAACCACTGCCAGTTCAAGTCCATAGCTTCCCCTATCACCAGGCAGGACAGATCCAGAGCCACTGCCAGCCCAAGTCTATAGCTTCCCCCAACACCAGGCAGGAAATTTCAAGGGCCACTGCCAGCCCAAGTCCATAGCTTCCTCCATCACCAGGCAGGACAGTTCTAGAACCAATGCTAGCCCAAGTCCATAGCTTCCCCCATCACCAGGCAGGACAACTCAGGAACCACTGCCAACCCAAGTCCATAGCTTCCCCCATCACTAGGCAAGACAGCTCCAGGACCACTGCCAGCCCAAGTCAATAGCTTCCCCCATCACCAGGCAGGACATCTCCAGGACCACTGCCAGCCCAAATACATTGCTTCCCCCAACACCAGGCAGGACAGTTCAAGGACCACTGCCAGTCCAAGTCCTTAGCTTCCCCCATCATTAGGCAGGACAGCTCCAGGACTACTGGTAACCCAAGCCCATAACTTCCCCCATCACCAGGCAGGACAACTCAAGAACCACTTCCAGCCCAAGTCTATAGCTTCCCCCCATCACCAGGCAGGATAATTCAAGGATGACTGCCAGCTCAAGTCCACAGTCCCCCATCACCAGGCAGGACAGCTCCAGGACCACTGCCAGTCCATGTCATTAGCTTCCCCCATTACCAGGCAAGGCAGTTCAAGGGCCACTTCCAGCCCAAGTCTATAGCTTCCCTCATCACCAGGCAGGACAGCTCCAGGACCACTACCAACTCAAATCTATTGCTTCCCCCATCACCAAACAGGACAGCTCCAGGACCACATCCAGCACATGTTAGGCCCCACACAGGCTATTGGGCCTAACAGCAGAGATCCCTACAGGAGCACCTCCCCAGGCCTGAGCCTGGGGGAAGAGAGATTGCAAGGCCATATATTTATATCTTCCCCCAGCATGCACCAGTGGCCATGAACATCATATTGGGTTGGCTGAAGGAAATATAAATATTCATAACTCAGTGTTATTATGAAATCTCATACTATTGGCAGTGACACCAGTGACACCCACTGACAACTATGAGAAATCACAACCCCGTCTAGTTCAACCAATAATAGAAAATATACAGAACCTTTTACCCACAGTCGATCCAGGAAGGCAAAAAAAACCGAATTCCTACCCCTGGTGTTACTCCCTCTAACTTTTAGTATCCACTTATATTTTGTATATTTTTAGAAATAAATCCAGCTCTTTTTTATAACGATCTACTGAGGTGGCCAGAACCAGCTCTTGAGGTAGTCTATTCCACATTTTCACAGCTCTTACTGTGAAGAAGCCTTTCAATAATTGGAAGTTAAATCTCTTTTCCTCCAGACATCTGAAGCAAAGATGCAGGTGAATGTGGATTGTGAATATTTTTTATGGATTCAGGTTGCCATCTGTCCCATTTGCTGGGGGAGGTCCCCATTTTAAGGGATTCAGGTTGCCATCTGTCCCATTTGCCGGGTGGAGGTCCCCATTTTAAGGGATTCAGGTTGCCATCTGTCCCATTTGCCGGGTGGAGGTCCCCATTTTAAGGGATTCTGGTTGCCATCTGTCCCATTTGCCGGGTGGAGGTCCCCGTTTTAAGGGATTCAGGTTGCCATCTGTCCCATTTGCCGGGTAGAGGTCCCCATTTTAAGGGATTCAGGTTGCCATCTGTCCCATTTGCTGGGGGAGGTCCCCGTTTTAAAGGGTCTGTCCCCTGCAAACAAATGTCCCCAGTGACGTCCCTGGTGGCAGTGTTATACCTACCCTGTGACATTACTGTGGTCCTCCAATACAGGCCGCCGCCCTTTCCATGCACAAGACCTTTAATGTCCTCCCAGTCTTAGTCCGTAGGGTTCAATATTGAGTTGGCCCCGCCCTTTCCACGCACATGACCTTTAATGGCCCCCCAGTCTTAGTCCGTAGGGTTCAATATTGAGTTGGCCCCGCCCTTTCCACACACATGACCTTTAATGGCCCCCCAGTCTTAGTCCGTAGGGTTCAATATTGAGTCTATGGGAAGGTTGGACCATTCTTCCAGAAGCACATTTGTCAGGTCAGGCACTGATGTCGGGGGAGGAGGCCTGGCTCGCAGTCTCCGCTCTAATTCATCCCAAAGGTGTTCTATGGGGTTGAGGTCAGGACTCTGTGCAGGACAGTCAAGTTCCTCCACCCCAAACTGGCTCCTCCATGTCTTCATGGACCTTGCTTTGTGCACTGGTGGGCAGTCATGTTGGAACAGGAAGGGGCCATCCCCAAACTCTTCCCACAAAGTTGGGAGCATGAAATTGTCCAAAATGTCTTGGTAAGCTGATGCCCTAAGAGTTAGCTTCACTGGAACTAGGGGGCTAAGCCCAACCCCTAAAAAACAATCCCACACCATAATCCCCTCTCTACCAAACTGTACACTTGGCACAATGCAGTCAGGCAAGTACCGTTCTCCTGGCCACCACCAAACCCAGACACGTCCATCGAATTGCCAGACAGAGAAGCGCGATTGGTCACTCCAGAGAACACGCCTCCTCTGCTCTAGAGTCCAGTGGCGGCGTGCTTTAATTTTTTTTAATGGTTGAACTGGATGAATGTTTGTCTTTTTTTGGCCAGACTAACTATGTAACCAGGGGTGGACTAACCATTTGGAAACTCGGGCACTGCCCGAGGGCCGGGGTCATTAGGGGGCCCCATGAGATGCCCCTGGTACCTTTCTTAGGCTTATTTGGTTTGAGTGTGGGCGAGGACACAGGGGCCCCATGATCTCCTATTGCCCGGGGGGCCCCATGAGTTGTCAGTCCACCCCTGTATGTAACTATTTAAAAACAGAAAAGAATAGAATAGAAAATAAAATTATGGTGTGGGTTTGTTTTCTAAGGGGCCAAGCCCAACCCCTGAATAACACCCCCCACACCATAATCCCCCCTCCACCAAACTTTACACTTGGCACAATGCAGTCAGGCAAGTACCGTTCTCCTGGCAACTGCCAAACCCAGACACGTCCATCGGATTGCCAGACAAAGAAGCGTGATTGGTGACTCCAGAGAACACACCTCCACTGCTCTAGAGTCCAGTGGCGGCGTGCTTTACACCACGGCATCCGACGCTTTGCATTGCACTTGGTGATGGAAGGCTTGGATGCAGCTGCTCGGCCATGGAAACCCATTCCATGAAGCTCTCTACGCACTGTTGTTGGGCTCATCTGAAGGCCACACCAAGTTTGGAGGTCTTTAGCTATTGACTCTGCAGACAGTTGGTGACTTCTGCGCACTGTGCACTTCAGCATGCGCTGACCCCGCCCTGTCATGTGACGTGGCCTACCACTTGGTGGCTGAGTGGCTGTTGTTCCCAGTTGCTTCCACTTTGTTATAATCCCACTAACAGTTGAGCGTGGAATATTTAGTAGCCAGGAAATGTCACGGATGGACTTATTGCCCAGGTGGCCACCTATCACGGGACCACGCTTGGAGTCACTGAGCTCCTGAGAGCGACCCATTCTTTCACCAATGTTTGTAGAAGCCATCTGCATGCCTAGAGGCTTGATTGTATACACCTGTGTCCATGGAGGGGATTGGAACACCTGAATCACATGATTGGGAGGGGATTGGAACACCTGAATCACATGATATGGAGGGGATTGGAGCACCTGAATCACATGATTGGGAGGGGATTGGAACACCTGAATCACATAATATGGAGGGGATTGGAACACCTGAATCACATGATATGGAGGGGATTGGAACACCTGAATCACATGATATGGAGGGGATTGGAACACCTGAATCACATGATTGGAGGGGATTGGAACACCTGAATCACATGATTGGAAGGGATTGCAACACCTGAATCACATGATTGGGAGGGGATTGGAACACCTGAATCACACGATTGGGAGGGGATTGCAACACCTGAATCACACGATATGGAGGGGTTTGGAACACCTGAATCACATGATATGGAGGGGATTGGAACACCTGAATCACATGATATGGAGGGGATTGGAACACCTGAATCACATGATTTGGAGGGGATTGGAACACCTGAATCACATGATATGGAGGGGATTGGAACACCTGAATCACATGATTGGGAGGGGATTGGAACACCTGAATCGCATGATTTGGCGGGGATTGGAACACCTGAATCACATGATTTGGAGGGCGGGGCCAATACTTTTGCTGAGATAGTGTATATTATAAAATGATTTACAAAACATTGTGTAGGGAAACACAAAAAAAAAGTGTCTCAGGCTGCAATACTCACCTCACCGGTGCTGTCCTTGCAGTTCTGCTTCTCCACCACTAGACTGTCTGCAGTCATCCGGGTTAAAGGACAACCAGATTTAATTTAAGACTGAGGTCACACTGTGAGTACAGGACACCATGGACTCACCCCCTGCAGGAGGTGCCCCTGCACTCACATGGAAGAGCAATGTTCCTCCAGCATTCTCCTCGGGAATGAAAGCAGCCAGCCATGGTCACGATCTCTACCTACACCCTCCAGAAGCCCACAGCCTCTCTTGGATCCCATGGCAGAGCTCAGGAAGTGCCTCCCCATTCCCCATCTACTGTCACCTGCCACGTATGTCCCTTCTTCCAGAGGGTGGTGCCGCCCCCTGAAAAAATGCCGCCCAAAGCAAATGCCTTGTTTGCCTCATGGTAAATATGGCCTTGGTGTCACATGACCGGCCTGAAGACATTTGGAAAGGTATGTATAAAATCAAAAGGTGCGCATGGTGGGCCTCAAATAGGGGGAGGGGTCCCATCGAGCAGGAGACTAGACCCCAGACTTGGACTTTAAGGACACCTTTCGTCTTTCCGGATGGCGTGCAATCGCTCAGTGTCCCTCCCACAGCTTTCCGGATCATTTCCCTCCAGAGGCTGCATTGCCGAATGTATTAAATTGTATCCGAAATCTTCTTCTACCATCCGATGGATCATAGGACGCCATGTGTGGAGCTTCATACAGAACGGAGAACATGCGTCCTCCATTTTGCTGAGCGCCAATTAAGCCCCCGTCATGCCGCGGCGCGGATTGGAATACGTTTCACATCACATTACAGGGAAGACACGCTCATCTCATTTATCTCTAATAGAGGTGAATAGATAACAATGGATCGCTCTTCGTCACCGGGGCCGCGTTCTCCACGCACTACAAAGGGCAGGATGGCGTTGGACGAAGGCGCATTACGTTCCACGTCTGCGAGGTAATTGCAGTCCGCAGGTCTCAGTAAGTATGATGGAGGGGCCCCGGCACAAGATCAATTCCACCGACAGCCCAGAGATACAAGGTCATTATTTTTGTGTCCGTAGAGTAGAGCGCGTCTGAGGCTGTATAGTGCGCCGCTCACCGAAAACGTGTTATTGGAAAGATTTCCAGACAAAGCGAAGAGTCCGATCCTCACAGCAGAGACCTGCGACACTCCAGGCACACATTACAGTCTGTGGATCTAAAGATCTCTGGGTGCCGCTCCAGGTTTCCACGTCAAAGTCCGGAGACTCGCATTGAGGGTGTTGGCTTGGAAGGAGGCTCGATATATTCAGTAGGAGAGAAGAAGCCCCCCTGATCCCCGCCAACATCAACAAGAACTGACTCATTAGAGTAAAAGCAGTCTCAGCCCAGCTCTGTCCAGGCTCTGCCCCAACATGTTTCGCCCCACTCCCAGGGCTTAGTCATGGAGGCATGGAACCCTCAATTACTAAGCCCCAGGGGCAGTGCGAAACGCATCCAAGGTTGTGGCCTTGGATGGAGCTGGGCTGAGATTGATTTTACTCTAATGTCTGTTGGGTCTTGTTGGTGTGCGGTGATCAGGGGTTTTCTTCTCTCCCACGTATTACAATCATTAGAGTAAAAGCAGTCTCAGCCCAGCTCTGTCCAGGCTCTGCCCCAACGTGTTTCGCCCCACTCCCAGGGCTTAGTCATGGAGGCATGGAACCCTCAATTACTAAGCCCCAGGGGCAGGGCAAAACGCATCCAAAATTGTGGCCTTCAATGGAGCTGGGCTGAGATTGATTTTACTCTAATGTCTGTTGGGTCTTGTTGGTGTGCGGTGATCAGGGGTTTTCTTCTCTCCTATGTATTACAATCATTAGAGTAAAAGCAGTCTCAGCCCAGCTCTGTCCAGGCTCTGCCCCAACGTGTTTTGCCCCACTCCCAGGGCTTAGTCATGGAGGCATGGAACCCTCAACTACTATGCCCCAGGGGCAGTGCGAAACGCATCCAAGCTTGTGGCCTTGGATGGAGCTGGGCTGAGATTGGTTTTACTCTAGTGTCTATTGGGTCTTGTTGGTGTGCGGTGATCAGGGGTTTTCTTCTCTCCCACGTATTACTGTCATTAGAGTAAAAGCAGTCTCAGCCCAGCTCTGTCCAGGCTCTGCCCCAACGTGTTTCGCCCCACTCCCAGGGCTTAGTCATGGAGGCATGGAACCCTCAATGACTAAGCCTCAGGGGCAGGGCAAAAACGCATCCAAAATTGTGGCCTTGGATGGAGCTCGGCTGAGATTGGATTTGCTCTAATGTCTGTTGGGTCTTGTTGGTGTGCGGTGATCAGGGGTTTTCTTCTCTCCCACATATTACAGTCATTATTCATTTCACTGAAGTCGGATCTGCTTTTTCTGGTTCCCCCTCATCTATATGATAATGACATTTTAAATAAAAACATTGCATACCTTATTTTAGTCCCAATGATGTCATCACTGGGTCTCTCTGCTTCTCTATGCAAGGCAGGCAGCTCATGGCTGGTGGGAAGGGCCAGCAGGGGGGGCTGTACATAGCTTCCAGAACACATCACAGCACCCTCTGTACTCTTCTCAGGAGCCCTCAGTCCTGAGGCAAGAACCCCCAAATAAAAAGCAAAGAATAAAACAAAATAATCAGCATAAAAAAAGGTGAAACCTTCCACTCTGCTTTCTAATACTTTCTGTGGGGGCCCCCGTGGGGATGTAATATTACTGTAGCCCCTTTTTCTAAATAGGGACTATTATGTCAGTTTAGTCCTTGGCTGGGATGTACTTAGCTCAGATTGTATAGTTCACTTGGTTTTTTCCTCAGCTTAAGGTGGGTTGTGATTTCTCACTATGGCCAGTAGGTGTCACTAGAATAGTATGAGATTTCATCAACAAAACTAACAATATTTATTGCCAAGAAAATATTTATATTCCCTTCAGCCAATCCAGTAGAAGGTGTATGCCGCTAGTGCATGCTGGGGGAGGATATAAATATTTGGGACAAGCCATGTGCTCGCTCTCTTCCTCTGGGCTTAGGCCTGGGGAGGTGCTGCTGAATGGAGCTCTGCTGTTGGGTCCAATAGCCCGTGTGGGACATAACATGTGCTGAAGTGGTCCTGAAGCCATCCTGCCTGGGCTGAAGGAAGCTGGACCAAGGATGAGACCCTGTGGAGGCACCTTGTTGGAGAGAGCCAGGAAGAAGGCTGGTCTCTCAGGAGGGCCTGCTGATCCACTAGGAGGAAACACTGGAATTTGGGAACGTGCTTCCAGTGTCCTAGGGATGGCTTAAATCACAGGAGTCAAACGCAAGGCCCGCGGGCCGAAACCGGCCCTCCAGGCCATGTCGTGTGGCCCTTGCACCTCTCCTACAGGTACCCCCTTGTCTCCATCAATCAATAAATTCCTTCAATTCCCACCAAAAAGTCACACTTTCTCCCTAGAAAGTACACAATCCAACATATCCTTTTTGTGAAAACCATCTAAATCCCACATACAACCCTAGAATGAATTCCACAAATACTTAATTCATATACAAATAAATATAAATAAAATAAGATAATATAAAAATACAAATACGTAATTTGTGTCCAAAAAATTCACTTTCAATAGTGTCCCAAAACTCCAAATCAAATAGTGTCCAATGTCCAAGTCCCAAACTTTCACTTTAATCCTCAATATTCCATGTCAACCTCAAAATAAAAAGAAAAAAGAAAATCCATAGTGCATTAACTTTTTAATTACCGTATTTTTCGCTCCATAAGACGCACCTAGGTTTTAGAGGCGAAAAAAAAAAAAAATATTCTGAACCAATGGACTGCAGACACAGTACAGGGGATGACCAGAGACTGCAGACACAGTACAGGGGATGACCAGAGACTGCAGACACAGTACAGGAGATGACCGGAGACTGCGGACACAGTACAGGAGATGACCAGAGACTGCGGACACAGTACAGGAGATGACCAGAGACTGCAGACACAGTACAGGGGATGACCAGAGACTGCAGACACAGTACAGGGGATGACCAGAGACTGCGGACACAGTACAGGAGATGACCAGAGACTGCAGACACAGTACAGGGGATGACCAGAGACTGCAGACACAGTACAGGGGATGACCAGAGACTGCAGACACAGTACAGGAGATGACCAGAGACTGCGGACACAGTACAGGGGATGACCAGAGACTGCGGACACAGTACAGGAGATGACCAGAGACTGCGGACATAGTACAGGAGATGACCAGAGACTGCGGACACAGTACAGGAGATGACCAGAGACTGCGGACACAGTACAGGAGATGACCAGAGACTGCGGACACAGTACAGGAGATGACCAGAGACTGCGGATACAGTACAGGAGATGACCAGAGACTGCGGACACAGTACAGGAGATGACCAGAGACTGCGGACACAGTACAGGGGATGACCAGAGACTGCAGACACAGTACAGGAGATGACCAGAGACTGCAGACATGATACAGGAGATGACCAGAGACTGCGGACACAGTGCAGGAGATGACCAGAGACTGCAGACATAGTACAGGAGATGACCAGAGACTGCGGACACAGTACAGGAGATGACCAGAGACTGCGGACACAGTACAGGAGATGACCAGAGACTGCGGACACAGTACAGGAGATGACCAGAGACTGCGGACATAGTACAGGAGATGACAAGAGACTGCGGACACAGTGCAGGAGATGACCAGAGACTGCGGACACAGTGCAGGGAATGACTAGAGACTGCAGACAGTGCAGGGAATGACCAGAGACTGCAGACAGTGCAGGGGATGACCAAGAGACTGCAGACAGTGCAGGGAATGACCAGAGACTGCGGACATAGTACAGGAGATGACCAGAGACTGCGGACATAGTACAGGAGATGACCAGAGACTGCGGACACAGTACAGGAGATGACCAGAGACTGCGGACATAGTACAGGAGATGACCAGAGACTGCGGACAGTACAGGAGATGACCAGAGACTGCAGACACAGTGCAGGAGATGACCAGAGACTGCGGACACAGTACAGGAGATGACCAGAGACTGCGGACATAGTACAGGAGATGACCAGAGACTGCGGACAGTACAGGAGATGACCAGAGACTGCGGACACAGTACAGGAGATGACCAGAGACTGCAGACACAGTGCAGGAGATGACCAGAGACTGCGGACACAGTACAGGAGATGACCAGAGACTGCGGACACAGTACAGGAGATGACCAGAGACTGCGGACACAGTACAGGAGATGACCAGAGACTGCGGACACAGTACAGGAGATGACCAGAGACTGCGGACACAGTACAGGAGATGACCAGAGACTGCGGACACAGTACAGGAGATGACCAGAGACTGCGGACACAGTACAGGAGATGACCAGAGACTGCGGACACAGTACAGGAGATGACCAGAGACTGCGGACACAGTACAGGAGATGACCAGAGACTGCGGACACAGTACAGGAGATGACCAGAGACTGCGGACACAGTACAGGAGATGACCAGAGACTGCGGACACAGTACAGGGGATGACCAGAGACTGCGGACACAGTACAGGAGATGACCAGAGACTGCAGACACAGTACAGGAGATGACCAGAGACTGCGGACACAGTACAGGAGATGACCAGAGACTGCGGACACAGTGCAGGGAATGACCAGAGACTGCTGACCTTTAGGGAGGGAGGGGGAGCGGGTACCTGAATTTGACAGGTACCCGCTCCCACTTCTGCGGAGTTGTCCTTCCCTCTTCTTCCCGGGCCGGCTTCTGTGACAGCCAGGTGTCCACTGCGCATGTGCTGGGCTTTGTGAATGGCCCGGCGCCTTCTGGACCTGTCATGTGTCACAGAAGCCAGCGCAGGAAAGACTGTGCAGCGCTGGAGCGAGGAACAGGTAAGGCCCTGCAGGGGAGAAGAGCTGAGCGGCCAGCCCGGTATTCTGACATGGTGGCGGCAGAAATACCGGACCGGCCGCTTTATATTCGCTCCATAACACGCACTGACATTTTCCCCCCTTTTTTGGGGGGAAAAAAGTGCGTCTCTTATGGAGCGAAAAATACGGTATATATACTTCACTCAGTGTAAGACCCAAAACCACCCTTCAAATGGTGAGAAAAAAAAAAAAACTTGTGTAAATATTTACGAATATATCCTTATTTCTTAGAATATATAAATTAAACCCAAAACGTGAAAACTCCGTGATCACTTCAAACAAATACAAACACACTCTGTGATCAGCCACTTGTGACTTGTGATCCTAGGTACTAGTACCCTCTATATTCCAGCCAAAGGTGATAGCAGGTACTTTTACCCTTTTGTAGTTGTTTTCAAGCATAGACTATCTTAAGGACTCCATTTTTCCCAATAGTTCACATCGGGCACTTCTCCCGAATCCTCATAGAGATAAACAAGCTCTTAGGCAAAATTCGCATTAAGGAAACAATTTTAATCCAAACTTACATTAAAAGACAGGAAAATCCAGCTCCCAGCATTACTCCTTCCATGGCTCTATACCCACTTGCCGACCGCGCATAGCCGAATGACGGCTGCACCGCGGCCGGCTAGTTCTGGGTGGACGTCATATGACGTCCTCCCAGAACGCGCTCTCCTGCGCGCCCCAGGGGGCGCGCACCCGGCGATCTCCGTGATCGCTGTGTCCTACGGACACAGCTGATCACGAGATGTGGTGAAAGGCCGATCCCACCGGTCTTTTACCACGTGATCAGCGGTGTCCAATGACACGCTGATCACAGGAAAATGCAAGTGCCGGTTCTCGGCTGCACTTTCCTCACGCTGTCAGATCGTGAGGAAAGTACTGCCGAGAACCGGCAGTTGTCAGAGCGGGGATCGGCACCGATCATCAGGGCACTGATGATCAGTGCCCTGATGATCGGTGCCCAGCAGTGACCCCCGCAAGTTCCTCCCAGCAGTGCGCCCACTAGCCCCGCGCACCCATGCCCAGCAGTGCCCCCACCTGTGCCCAGCAGTGCCCCCACCTGTGCCCAGCAGTGCCCCCACCTGTGCCACTCTGCAGTGCCACCTACCTGTGCCCAGAAGTGCCACCTACATGTGCCAGCAGTGCCACCCACCTGTGCCCACCCACCTGTGCCCACCAGTGCCACCCACCTGTGCCCACCAGTGCCACCCACCTGTGCCCCCACCAGTGGTGCCCACCAGTGCCGCCCACCAGTGCAGCCCAGCAGTGCTGCCAGTCAGTGCCACCAGTCAGTGCCCAGGGGTTGTGCCAGTCAGTGCCGCCAGTCAGTGCCCAGAAGTGATGCCAGTCAGTGCCGTCTATCAGTACCCATAATCAGTGTCACCTATCAGTGCCGCCTATCAGTGCTGCATATCAGTGCCGCCTATCCGTGACCCCTAATTAGTGCTGTCTATCAGTGCCGCCTATCCGTGCCACCTCATTAGTACTGCCTATCAGTGCCCTTTAGTGCTGCCTATCAGTGCCCATCAGTGCCGCCTATCAGTGCCCATCAGTGCCGCCTCATCAACGCAAATCAGTGAAGAAGAAAAAATACCTGTTTGAAAAATTTTATAAAAGAAACAAATAAACTTTTTTTTTTTTTTTCAAATTTTTTGCACTTTTTTTAATTTATAGCGCAAAAAGTAAAGCGCCCAGTGGCGATTAAATACCACCAAAAGAAAGCTCTATTTGTGAGAAAAAAATGATCAAAATTTCATATGGGTACAATGTTGCATGACGGCGCAATTGTCAATCAAAGTGCGGCAGCGCTGAAAGCTGAAAATTGGCCTGGTAAGGAAGGGGGTATAAGTGCCGGTAGGCAAGGGGATACTAACTGATCAAACAATTGGTTGAAAACCGCATGTAGACAACCAAAAAAAATGGCCGCGGCGACACCCCCGGGTCCGGCGCGCGTGCGTCACGACGTCACTCCCCCAACGCGCCTCTTCACTTCCGGACTTCGAAGTCCAGTTTTTTCTTTTTATTTTGAGGTTGACATGGAATATTGAGGATTAAAGGATTAAAGTGAAAGTTTGGGACTTGGACATTGGACACTATTTGATTTGGAGTTTTGGGACACTATTGAAAGTGAATTTTTTGGACCCCTTGTCTCCGCCCCCACCTTGTCTCAGAAGTTGGCAGCAGAGAGGAGAATGGAACTCCTCTGCAAAATCTTGCACCTCTCAGTGCAGCTGCCTCACCCCCTCATCTCTGCCTCCCCTGGTCTCAGCATTCAGCAGACTCCGGTAACTGACTCCACTGCTCCTCTGGTCCTGCTCCAGACCCTGCACTTTCTGCTTTCCAGCTCTGCGCGATGATGTTAGGGAGAGTGTGGGATTCTTAACATCTGATGTAATGGTGGTGGGGGGGGGGGTGCTCTGGACATCTAGTCTTACAGTTACAACCAGTCCTTTGAGGCCAACCATAATGCAGATACGGCCCGCGATGAAATGGAGTTTGACACCCCTGGGCCCTGGCTTAAAGGATCTGACACTGTGAGACTGGACATTGATCTGCAGAATCTGTAGGTGATCTTCTGCGGTATCTGGGACCCCTAACCCTCACCTCCTTCACCGTTCTGCAATAAAAAGTGACTGGCGCCAAATATCCCTCCTCGGTCCCCCCATTTTAGCCACAGACTCGGGGTGAAATGCTTTGGCCTCTGGAGGTGCTCTCCTACCTTTGGGGTGTCAGAGGGGCACTACATTATTTGAAAGGCCACTTTAGCATGCCTTAAACAGTATTGCACAGCTGCTCAGTTCCGGGAAGGAAGGCCGCCCACCGCCACCACCCTGGAGGAAGAAGAGGAGTGATCTGTGATGTCACTGAACCAGCCTGAAGACTGTAAGAAAAAAAAAGAAAAGTGGAAGTGGAGGGAGGGTGGAGTTCCACTTTAAGACAATTTTGACAGAATTTAATGTTTTTGTGTATTTTTATTCGACCAGTTTGAGCCGTAAAGGTACCGCCCACTGACACAACTAAACCTTTCAGTGTGAGTTTGGTATTATAGGAAAGCTCCGTGACCTCATCTGTCCAACCAGAGGCCAGGAAAAGCCTTGCTGTCACCTATTTCATCCTTTATTACATTTCAGTCCTGCCACCTCTTTGCAGCCACTTCCCATCTACACACAGTGCCGGGACAGGGCAAAGCCAAACTCGCCCCCCCCCCCCCCCACTTCATAATGTGTGAGCTCAGGTGGATGCTCTCCCCCCCTGATGCCTTGTATCAGAATGAGCGTACTGGTTCCCCCAGCCATACGCAGCCGCCCCTCCTGCCCACCCCTTGTCCGGGTTCTGTCTACACATACTCCAGCACAGGGGCGGACTGACCATTCAGGCTCCCAGGCACTGCCCAAGGGCCCGGGGTCAATAGGGGGCCCCATGAGATGCCCCTGATACCTTTCATAGGCTTTTTTGGGTGTGGTTTGAGTGTGGGCGAGGACACAGGGGCCCCATGATTTCCTATTGCCGGGGGCCCCATGAGCTGTCAGTCCGCCCCTGCTCCATCAATGGCTGCATGGCATTCCTCAGGCGGTGGGTTTCCTGCTCATGTCTATGTAATGTGTGCTGACATGGTCACTTGTGGTGACAACGCAGGAGAACATTTCAATGACTGGGGCAGAGCGTTGTCACCCTATAGCAGGAAGTGCCTGATTTTGGATCTCTGTGGCAGGATCACCAGGAACTCTTTTCACGCCATGACTGAAAATGACTTTTTTCAATGACTTTCCCATATTAGATCTTCAGTGGTGGGTTTGGATTGAAGTGGAATGGAGAGATATATGTGTTGTCTGGAACGCACACAAGCCCCGCCCCCCTGGGCGCACAGTTTCTGCATACCTGGTGATATTCCGTCTTTTTTCCAGGAAAAGGTAGACAAGTGTTTTACGGCATGACCGGAATCCTCCCATCTGCAGAAAATACGATAAAACATAGGAGCCGAATTCATGAAGATTTATCCCCGATCGTAATTCACATGAAATATTCCATCGGCGGGGGAGGGCAGCACCCCAGGAACTCTTCCGATGATATCATTGCAGAGGCAACATTTGTAGTTTAATATTTTAAAAATGTATCAATTTGTGGAATTCACGTTTTATACGATTTATCAGATCATTTCACGAAATGACATTTGCATTTTTATTGACTGGTTTTTCCATCAGTTGCTGTAAAACAAAAGATGTACAACGTCCCATTGATTTGTCTTCACAGAAAGCAGCCACAGCGGGAGTAGAGAAGCCTGTCCGCTGCCAGCGCCTGCAGACAGGGACCGTGATTCTTTGTGTGGAAGCGGCAGTGGTCCCTCTGTAGAGCACAGGTGTCACACACAAGGCCTG